TTGTGTGTAAAAATCTCACAAAAGAGGTGTCAGGCTGCATTACTGCAGAGCCAGCAGCCACCATGGGTGAGTTGCTTTTCATTTCCCCCCCCCCCCAGGCACCTCCCTCGTTCACGCGTGCGTGCAAACAACACACCCCGCTATAGGATAGGAGGTGTGAACAGGATTCCCTCAAGGACCGTCCACTTGAATTGGAAGCTGACAGGTGGAGAAATTCCATTGGTCGTCGGTCGTTTTTTTGGGGAGTTTTTAAACCGAGGCGTGACCGGAATTTAGGAAGCCTTTGCAAACCCTCCCTGTTTCCTTTACGATTAAGAGAGAAAGTTGGGAGGATCCCAAGGGATCATTGATGCCTCTGCACTTCTCTTCGGTGGGTCCCTTTGCCAGGCACAAATATTAATTATGTGGGGTGTTTTTTAAAAAATAAATAAATTGTGGCTCGATTTGGTCTAGTGTTACTTTAGAAACCAGGAGCCTGTGAGTTCTAGTCCTGCCTTAGGCATCAAAGCTGCCCGGTGACTTTGGGCCAATATCCAGAAGACGGTGAGTTCTAATCCCGCTTTAGGCATGAAAGCCAGTTGGCTGACCTTGGGCCGGTAGTCCTTCCCTCTCAGCCCACCTCACAGAGTTGTTGTTGGGGAAGGAGGAGTATTATTTATGTCCATCCCTTTGGATTACTACGAAATAATGAAAAAAAAAAATTAAAAATATCAAATAAAGAAGTATTCAAACTTTGACCTAGTGTTTTCGTTCGAGCTTTCTCTTTAAAGAAAATCGAATTGTGTTATTTTTGGAGAAGGCGTCCGTCTTCTCAATCCGACCCAGTTCCCACCGCCCAGGAAGATGGTGCCTGGAGTTGCTCACATACACACACGCACACACACAAACACCCATCATCCTCCACGCGTTTGAAACCCATCCCCCCTGACCTCCATCTGGCCTTCAGAATCTCTCAGCTCTGGATACAGAGATTACATACCCGTAGTCCTCAATTTACAACGTTTCCCTGAGTGACCATTTGAACTTACGATGACCCTGCAAAAAGTAACCTAAGACCAATTTTTACGCAACCACCATAGCATTCCCCAAAATACAGGTAGTCCTTGACTTACGACGGTCCATATAGCGACCGTTTGGAGTTACGATGGCACCAGAGAAACATACTTGTGGCCATTTTTCACTCATACGACCATTGCAGCATTCCCCCCAGGTTTACATGATCAAAATTCAGACTCTTGGCAACCGGTTCATATTTATGACGATGGCAATATCCTGTGGTCACATGCTCTCCTTTTTTATGGCCGTGAATTTGAAGCAATGGCCGGGAGAGACTTATGAGCTGGGGGGGAAAACATGCTGTGGTTGTTTTTATGGTGGGCTTTGAACCACTGATTGGTTTATGACACCGATCGGTTTATGACTTTTGATCAGCATATGATTTTCTTTCCCTACATCTCAATTTTTTTCCCTTAGTTGGAGCAGCAAAGACAGCAGCTGCTCACCGAGCGTCAAAACTTCCACATGGAGCAGCTGAAATACGCCGAACTCCGAGCCCGGCAACAATTAGAACAGCAGCAGCAACAACAGCAGCAACAACAGAGCCAGAACGCACAACAATCGCACCAGCACACCAGTGGTCCAGGCATGAATCCTCTGGGGACAGCCTTGTCATCTCACCAGCAGCCTCCCCCTTACCCCATGATGCTTCACCAGATGCCCCCACCTCACCCTCCTCAACCAGGTTAGTGACGTCCGTCGGCGTTGATCATCGAAGTGCGGGTTTTGAAAAGGAGAGAGAGAGAGAGAGTCGTTCTGGGGTGGCACAGATTCTGACAAGAAGACAAGGAAGCCAAGATTATTAAGTGCTGGAGACATAACCTGTAAATAACAGGTAGTCCTCGCCTTGTGACCAACATTGGTGGCTAAGTGAGGCAGTGGTTGGGTGGATTTGCGCCTGGTTTGGCACCCTTCATTCTCGTGGCGATTGAGTTGCTATAGTTGTGTAGTGCGTCATGCGAATTTGGATCATGTAACTGGAGAATGAAGCAACGGTCATAAGTACGAGGATGGTGAAGTCCTTTGTGCTCTCTGAGCTTGCAGACATTTCGTGACCCAACCATGTGACATCATTACTACTAGGAGGAGTGTGAGGTCTTCCATGCTCTCTGAGCTTGATAATTTTCTTCTGGAGGTTTCGTGACCCAGCTAGGTAACATCATCAGTAATAGAAGAAAGGGGGATTAGTCTCTATTTATGTACAATTTCTTGCCCAGATAGTGTCCTTGGGAATGTGTGTACGTGTGTGTGGGGGGGGGGGGGTTCGCTTGGTTGTTCCTTGATTAGAAGAGGATTGTTTTCTCCTTGATTATTTGTCTGGGGTTAATCCCTGCTTCTCTGAGAATTGGTAACTGGAGGGATGTGTTAGTTTTTTTGTTTCCTTTGTAAATTGTGTGTAAATGTGGCTTTTCTCTGGGTGTCTATAATGGGAGAAGAATCAATCCTGGTAGCATCATTTCCCCCTACAGCAACACTACTTATAGGGGGGTTCCTGGCCCTCTGAGCTTGGTGGTTTCCTTGAAGACGTTTCATGACCCAACTAGGTAACATCACCAGTGCATAACAACCCACGGTGTTGTGTTTGAAGCGCAACAGGAACGGTGGACTGCAGTTGGCGCTTGGGAAGCCGAGTCTGCCAACCTTCCTCCTCTTCCTCCATCGTTTTGTTAGAGCCACCAGGGCTTCCGGCTCCTCCCTGAAGGCTTTTGCTCCAAAAGCTTCTTGAAACCTTCTTTTTAACACGCCCGGATGTGTGAAAATGGGCTTTTCAAACTCAGAAAGCAAGAAAAGATTCCCTCTGCAGTGGAAACAGGTTTTCAATCCAGGGCAGGATTAGCCGTTTCGGAGGGGACATTGCGGAGTGAAGGTTTCCAACCCTTGGAGGCACTGCCACTCTTTGGAGATGGGAAGATGAGGCTTCTCTACCTGTTGGATTGGAGGGAAAGGGAGAGAGGGAGGGAAGGAAGGAAGGAAGGGATAGGAAAAAGGAAGGAAGGCGGAAATGAAGGGAGGGATGGAGGGAGATAGGAAAAAGGAAGGCAGAAATGAAGGGAGGGAAGAAGGAAGGAGATAGGAAAAGGGAGGAAGACAAAAGGAAGCAAGGAAAGGAGAGAGGAAGGGAAGGAAGGAGATATATAGGGAAAGATTAATGGAAGGAAAAATGAAGGCAGGAACTGTTAGGAAGGAGGGTAGGAAGGAAGTGTAGGTGGAAGGGAGGAGATATGGGGCAGGAAGGAAGGAAGGAAGGACGGATGGATGGATGGATGGATGGATGGAGATAGAGGGAGGAAGGAAGGAGATACGGGAAGGATGAATGGAAGGAAAAAAGAAAGGCTGGAGATGTATGAGGGATGGAAGTGTGGATGGATGGATGGATGGATGGATGGATGGATGGATGGATGGATGGATGGATGGATGGAAGGAGATACGTATATGAAGGAAGAAAAGTAAAGGAGATAGAGGGAAGGAGATATGGATGGATGCATGCCTGGAAGAAAGGAATGAAGCAGGTATGGGGGATGGATGGAAGGGAGGAAGGAAAGAGATATATGAGGGGAGGAAGGGGAGGAAGGTGGGAGATGTGGAGGAAGGAAGAAGCCAACCAAAGGCATCTCCGCCAGCCGCCTCCTGTCTAATGAACCATGCCATTCTCCCCCCCAAACAGCTGCCGTTTGTACTCGGCTGTGCATTTGTGTGTGTGTGTGTGTGTGTTTTCCTTTCAGCATCCCTTCCTGTATGTAGGTCACGCTTCCCTGTTTATTCTGCTCCAGCCGTTCTGTCTTCTCCCCCCCCCCTCATCCGCCCATCCTCTCCTCTTTCTCCTCCACCGAACGTCCTTCTCTCTCCCTTTTTGTTTTTTTCCCCCTCTCCCCTCATTACACACACCCCCCTCGCTTGCCTTTAACCCGTCATCGCATCTCAGCTACTGCGGGGAAATCCTGGTTAGCGGGAAGCCATTTTCTGCTCCCCACCCCCACCCCCCCGCCTCTACCCTGTGATGGAGAGTTTTTGCACGTCCCAAAAAAAAATCTTTTTCCTCTGCTTTTCATTTCCCCCAGAGATACACAGGCATGTACATATATATAAGAGGCAGAAAAGGGCTTTTAAAAAGCATTTCAATGTTGTGTGCCGTTTCTTGCAAAAGTAGACCAGTAGCGGGGGGGAGGGGGGGGGCTAAGATTTTTTTCCCTCCTTGCTGATGGCTTAAAAGCATATTTCAAAAAGGCAGCTTAAATGTAGGCAGTCCTCAGCTTAACCACCGCAATGGAGCGGCCACATTTCTGCTGCTAAGGGAGACATTTCTTCAAGGAAATGGAATTTCTTGCCCCCGTCATTAAGTGAATCCCTGCAGTTGTTAAGTCGGTAACATGGTTCTGAAGCCAATCTGGCTTCCCTGTTCCATTTGTCAGAAGGTCACAAAACGGGGATCGCACAACACGCACACACACCGGGACACTACAACCGTTGTAAATATGAGTCAGTCGCCAAGCTTCCGAATGTTGTTCATATGACCGACAGTTCTAAGTTTGAAAACTGGTCCTAAGTGCTGTTTTAACTTTGAACGGTCACTAAATGGGCCATTGTAAGTCAAGGACTATCGGGGGAAGGGGCAGGATTTTTCTCAGCCTCCGCAATGCGGAGACGGGTGGACTTCAACTCCCAGAATTCCCCAACCAGGATACTTTAAAAGAGGACTTAAATTCCCAGAATCCCGCAGCTGGCATCTTTTAAGAGGGGAAGACTCCCAGAATCCCCCAGCTGCATGTTGAGAAGCACTGATCTTCCCCTCTCTCTCCTCCTCTCCCTTTCCTTTCTCCTCCCTCCTTTCTCCTCTCTTTCCCTCTCCCTCCATCTCCTCTCCCCCTTTCTCTTTCTCTCCTTTCCTCCCAAATCTGGTAGTTTGCCCAAGAGCCCAGTGCTTTAGTTGGCAAGGCTGTGGATGAATGCTTGGATGGACGGATGGAGAGATGGACGAAGATGCCAAAGGATTGGGAATGGGGAGATGGATGGAAAGGGAGGGAGAGATGGAAGAGTGGGGAATGGATGGATGGAGAGATGGATGGAGGAGGAGGAGGAAGAAATGAACAGAGAGGAGGGATGATGGGAGATGTGAACAGAGAGGGGTTCCAGAGGTTCAAAGATGGCCTCCAAGGGCCCCCTCCCTCCAACACCCACCTTCACTGCTGTTTCCTCCCCCACAGGTCCCATCCTCGGACAGGGCTCCATGATGCCCGGACAGCCCCTGCCAGGCCGTATCATGCCCACCGGGACCACCAACGCCCCTTCAGCCACCAGCACTAACATCCCACCCTCAGGCACAGGGAACATCGTCGGCCCCCGGGGGCAGCTGGCCTCTCCAAACGGCTTGTGTGAGTCTCCCGATTGGCCCCGTCTCTCCTTCCTCCAGGACTCCCAGAGGCCTCCTTCCATTTTATTTATTAAATTTACAGCCGGTCCTCCACTTACAACCACAACTGAGCTCGACATTCCAGTTGCTAAGCAAGACCTTTGTTCAGTGAGTTTCACCCCCCGCGACAACTTTTCTTGCCGCGGTTGTGAAGCGAATCGTTGTGGTTTGGCTTCCCCGTTGACTTTGCCAATCAGAAGGTCTCCAGAAGGGGATCATGTGACCCCCCCCCGGGACACCGCGACCGTTATCAATATTTGTCTTGCTTAGCAACGGAAACGTTAGTCTCGGTTATGCGTTGCAAGTCAAAGACAAATAACATTCCGGACAAACAGTTGTCTAATTTTTTCAGCCCCATTGCTCTCCGTGTCCTTCCAATAATAGCCCTGGGCTTTGAACTGAAGCCAGCCTCTTAACAAACCTTCCATCCGGTGGCAAGGAGTTCCCCTGGCTTCCTCACGCACCCTTCCCAAACCGCCAACTCCGTTTTGATGGAATTCAGCAAATAAAATTTCTAAATAAATAAGTTCGACGTTTTTGCGTATTACCAACCGCCCGATGGCCATGGGTCCACCCTTCCTTAAATGAACCTTCTGGGCCACCCATCTGTGGCTGGAGGCCCTTCAACGATGGGTCCTCCTGAAAACGGCTCCCCGTTTTTAGGGCCAAACCTTCACGTTGACAACATTCAGAGGTGGCTTCCAACCCGTCTCCTACCAGGTGTAAGTGCAGAATTTAAGCCGGGCCAGATGTCGCATCTTCTCTGGAGCTTCTGAAGAACCCAACTTGAAGATCATACCTCTCTCTCTCCAGATGACCACCTTAATTCTCTCTTTGGTGTCTCTTCTCAGATCCTCAGCCGCCGCCTCCTCCTCCTCCTCCTCCAGCCGACGGGGCAACGCCGCCACCCACAGGACCCATCCCGGCCTCCACAGCACCCTGAACACATCCTCAACCAGGACCTTCTCAAGCTCTGGAAGATGCAGCCAACACCACCGTTCCTCCATGTTCTGCTCCTCTTTCTCCCAGCTTGTCTTCCCACCCCAATGTGTCGTCCAACTCACAGCACCCATAGTTTCGGGATGGGGGTGGCAGTTGTAACCCTTCGGGTGGGACTTCTGACCCACAGCTGGTTCATCTTGGTACTTCAATCTCCTGGCCATCAAGGGCTTCCATCATCATCAAAAGAATTGGAAGGGGTCCACTGAGATTTTTTTTGGGGGGGGGGGAATGAGTCAGTGGTCCAGGCTGAGAACCAAGATGGACCAGCTCGGTTCCGTGAATTGGGGGGTGGGGGGGGTTCCTCATATCTTGAGAGTTCAAGGTGACAATTCTTCTGGGAGATGACTCCATCTCTTCCAGGTGGGCAGGGTTCTCAGAACATCATTGTTCCACACCTTCTCCTTGGACCTGGAGGAGACACACTCCATTTTCCCCTTCCAGCCCCTTCCCCACCTTTCTGTGGCTCCTCCCTTCCTGCAGCCCACCCACCCAACTGCTACCATCGCCCTCCACCACCATCATCATCAGTTCTCAAAACTACCTCTTAGAAAACAGCTGCACTGGGGGGGGGCAAGCCAGCAAGCCAGGACCCCCTTTGGGGTCCTGAAAGCCCCCTCCCATCTTTCATAGGCACACACACCCCCAACCATACTGTATCCCAAAACCCCTGCTTAACTTTGCCCGCCTCTCTTCGACCCACCCTTTAGAAATGGGGAGTGGGCTACTGGCTTGATGAGGCCCCGGATACTCACAGCCGCGCCTGGTTTTCTTCCAGCCTTAACAGGTGCCTCGCCAGAAAAAGTGGGGGGACTGTCCGGGATGCCGAGGCCAGCCATGCCACCCTCCCCACAAACACAAACCCTCCCTTTTGACACCCGAAATTTCCAGAAGTTTTTTCAAACCAAGCTTTTCCCGCAAAATGATGCACCCTTTCTAACTGCATTTTGGGGGCGGGGGACGTATGGGGCCCCCAAATCTGCTTCACCACACTCCCCATCCCCCTGCCAGTTGTGAAGAATACAACGGTTATGTAGGGTAACAATGGTGGATGTCGCAACCTCTTATTTGGGGAAGATCTTGTCCCCTTCTCAATACCCCCCCCCCTGGAAAAGAGCTCCCTTTCTCTTCCCATCCCATGTGTGGCCCCCACCCTTCCTTACCCTCCGAAGCACCCTAGGATTTGTGATTCTCAACATGGTTCCTTTTTTGTAGCGAGATCTCCTTTGGATTGTAAAAGATTTGTGAAAATGGAGAATTTTACTCTCCCTCTTCTCTCTTTCTCTCTTTCCTTTTTTTTAAGCTCAATTAGTGACCGGATCCTGCCGCGTATGTGTGTGTGATGAATCAATAACACAACGGTGTTTCGGTACGCATGAGAAATGGGAGATGTTTGGGGGGGTGGGGGGGTTAGGCTCCAATTTGGGGGGTGGGGGTGGGGACACATCAGTTCTTGCAGCACAAATTTCTAAATTTTTGTGACACTGAAATAAAGTGGGTTTTTTTTTTAAAACAACTCTGCCTGTGTTTGGTCTTTTTGTTGGTTACGCAAGGCATTCCTCAACTTAACGACGGAGCCTTAATGACTAATCGAGAGATTTATTTTATGACCTTTCTCACCACAGTTGTTAAGTAAATCACTGCAATTATGTTGTAAAACCTGGTCGTTAAGTGAATCTGGTTTCCTGCCTGTTCAGATGGTCGCAAAAGGGGAATCACGTGACCCTGGGACACTTTGACTGTGATAAATATGAGCCCCGTTGCCAAGCCTCTAAATGTCCATCAGGTGATCAAGGGGATGGTGGAACAGTCGTAAGAGTGGGAAAAAATGATACCATTGTGACTTCAAACGGTCACTGAGCGAACTGTTTTAAGTCGAGGACTGCCTGTAATGCTCTTGGCCTCTGCTCAGCGTCCCTCAGTGCTCTGACAACCACATCTGAAGATCTGCACAAAATCAGAGAAACACACAAAAAACACACACAACCCTTTCCTGGCCTGTTGCCTGCCAAGCAGAGTCTCCGTATCGGACAAAGAAACTAGGAAATTGAGTTTATTTTTACTTATTAATTGAATGGATTTATAGAACTGTCCAACTCACACACAGATATTGTGTATGATATTAGAATCCACCTTTTAACATATCATTTCCTGTTTTGGCATTTTTAAAAAAAAATCTAGTTTTTTAACACATGCGCGTACACAATTTTCTCTCTGCATTTAAAACACAGCAAAAAATCCAGAGTTTTAACTCGCGCACAGTTTCCTCTTTTTTACATTAAAAAAAAACCTCACAAAATTACATATAAAATGGACAATGTTCCTTTTTTTTGCATGACAAACCCAAACAATTCAGTTTAAACACACATTTTTAAAAAATGTGTTTTAACACACAGTAATTTCCTTTTCTGCATTAAAATAAAAAAAAATCAGTTTAAAACACAGCTTTCATCTTTTTGCATTAGAAAAAAAAGTAACACGTATGGTTTCATCTTTTTGTATTTAAAAAAAAAATAACCCCACAAAGATCCACAGTTTTGAAACACACAATTTTTGTCTTTGCACACACACAAAAAAAATTCCACAAACTGAAAACACAAATAAGATTTTCTCTTTTTTTTGTTAAATAACTCATCTCCTCCCACTGAGCTGGTCTCCGGGTTTTCTCCCATCTTCCTTTCCGCCTTCCCAATGCCGTCACACTACAACTCCCAGCACCCTTAGCCAGGAGGACTGTTGGCCGCATCGCTGGAGATGCTGCAGGTGCATGCTCTAGATGTGTGTGTGTGTGCGTGTTCAAGGTGATTTGTGTGTGTGTGTGTGTGCAACAGACTGACGCAAAACGGGCCTGCATTTGAAACGCACCTAGTGGGAAGCCTGGTTTGCTTTTTCAGCTAAGCCAAACGTGACCAGCATTTGATGAAGATCATCCTAAAATGATCCTGGATTCCTCCCGATTAGTGGCAGACTTGTCTCTGCAATTGATCCCTTCTTCTCGGCTTAATTAAAGATGGGATTCCCGTCTATCTCCCAGATCTGCTTTGCATCACCCAACTTCTTGATCCCAGGTGATCACCTGAAAACCTGGCTAAGAAATGAAATCTGCTCCCCCCCAAGACCCTGAAAGTCAAGGGCTCCCCCCAAACAAGGAACCCCCCCCCATGACTGGCCCCCATCTCCTCTGGAGTTGCTCTAAGAAATTGGGGCGCCCATGGATTGGGGCTCCCATGGAGCTCCAGGCTAACCCAGCCACAGGAATAGAGATCCCTTGATTCACAACGGGCGGGATCGATGGGGAAAGGAAGGCTCCAGTGGGCCTTATAGCAATCCTCAAGTGGCAAGTTTCTACGAGGGGGCGCGGATTGGAAAGGCTGAGGCAGCCCAGCATCATGGGCTTTGGAGTTGCCTTCCGATTCATCCCCTCTTCTTCCCTTTGGTGACTGGCCCAACCTCATTCGCGGATTGCAGTACAATTTTAACCACAGGGACCCATGGCAGCTAAGGAACTCTGGGAGTTATAGTCCCTCTTAAAGCATAGCTGGCTGTGGGAGTTGAAGTCCTCCCCTCTTAAAGCATTGCTGGATGGGGGATTCTGGGAGTGGAAGTCCTCCCCTCTTAAAGCATTGCTGGATGGGGGATTCTGGGAGTGGAAGTCCTCCCCTCTTAAAGCCTTCTGGTTGGGGGATTCTGAAATGGAAGTCCTCCCCTCTTAAAGCATAGCTGACTGGGGGATTCTGGGACTTGGTGTCCTCCCCTCTTAAAGCATCCTGGGTGGGGGATTCTGGGAGTGGAAGTCCTCCCCTCTTAAAGCATGCTGGCTGGGGGATTCTGGGAGTGGAAGTCCTCCCCTCTTAAAGCATCCTGGGTGGGGGATTCTGGGAGTGGAAGTCCTCCCCTCTTAAAGCATCCTGCCTGGGGGATTCTGGGAGTGAAAGTCCTCCCCTCTTAAAGCATGCTGGATGGGGGATTCTGGGAGTGGAAGTCCATCCCTCTTAAAGCATGCTGGATGGGGGATTCTGGGAGTGGAAGTCCTCCCCTCTTAAAGCATGCTGGATGGGGGATTCTGGGAGTGGAAGTCCTCCCCTCTTAAAGCATAACTGGATGGGGGATTCTGGGAGTGGAAGTCCTCCCCTCTTAAAGCATGCTGGATGGGGGATTCTGGGAGTGGAAGTCCTCCCCTCTTAAAGCATGCTGGATGGGGGATTCTGGGAGTGGAAGTCCTCCCCTCTTAAAGCATGCTGGATGGGGGATTCTGGGAGTGGAAGTCCATCCCTCTTAAAGCATGCTGGATGGGGGATTCTGGGAGTGGGAGTCCTCCCCTCTTAAAGCATGCTGNCCTTGGTGCCCCCTCCCCTTTTCCTCCCCCCCCTCCCCTCCTTCCCCAGCCTTTGTTACGAGATGCTCCAAATAGACCTGACAGCCACCGGAGCTCCGTCGGAGGAGGTTTGGGATGGAGCCCGTAAGCCAGCACGGCCTTCCTCGCCTCTCCTGGATCGACACCCTCTACGGCAGTAGGTCTTTTGGGTCTGGGGTCTTGGCTGGGGAGGGGGAGGAAGAGAAAAAGAGCTGGGCAGCAATGACGTTTTGCCATCTCCAAAGGTACCAACCGAGAGAGAGAGACAGACAGAAATCAGGCTGGATGTTGCTTCTCCACCAGGCGCCAGATGGGGAACCGGGGTTGAGTTTTCTTTTGGGGGGTGGTCTGCAACACTGCACCCCTTCCCTTCCCTCCCCTGCCTCTCTACCTCTCCATTCGGCCCTTTTTTTCCAGGTCGGGGGTCCCACAAGGAAGGAAGCCATGGATTATTTATTTTTTGCTTTGGAGAGATTTATCCTCGCTCTGCCAGGCGCCAGAGACGTTGGGAAGCAGGGTTGAGTTTTCTTTTATTGGGGGTGGGCACAAAATTGTACCCCTTTCTTTCCTTCCCCTACCTCTCCATTCTGCCTTCCTTAGCCCTGTTTTTGGGGTGGGGGGGTCCCTACAAGGAAGCCAGCCACTATTCCTGCTTCGGAGAGATTTATCCTCACTCTGCCAGGTGCCAGAGACAGTGGAAGCAGGGTTGAGTTTTCTTTTATTTGGGGGGGCACAAAATTATACCCCTTTCTTTCCTTCCCCTACCTCTCCATTCTGCCTTCCTTAGCCCTGTTTTTGGGGTGGGGGGCTCCCTACAAGGAAGCCAGCCACTATTCCTGCTTTGGAGAAATTTATCCTCCAAATTTAGGCTCCAGAGACTGTGGGAAGCAGGGGTTCAGTTTTCTTTTTTGGGGGGCACAAAATTGCACCCCTTTTCTTCCTTCCCCTACCTCTCAACCTCTCCATTCTGCCTTCCTTGGCCCTGTTTTTGGGGTGGGGGGGCCCCACGAGGAAGGCAGCCACGGATTCCTGCTTCGGAGAGATTTATCCCCGCTCTGCCAGGCGCCAGAGACGGTGGGAAGCAGGGGTTCAGTTTTCTTTTTTGGGGAGTAGGGTGGGGGGGTCTGCAACACTGCACCTCTTTCCTCCCCTCCCCTGCTTTTACACCCCTCCATTCAGCCCTTTTTGGTGTGTGTGAGTCCCACAAGGAATCCAGCCACAGATTTCTGCTTCGAAAAGAGACAGTTATGTAAACCCCGCGTTCGCTTGACTAATAGAGCACAGATTTGGGGAGGGGGGGGTGTTGAGGAGGGGAGGGGGCTTCTTAGGAGACCTCTCCCCAATGTTTGCCTCCTCCTTGCTTCCCCCCCCTCCCCCTCCTCTGGAAGTGAGTGGGGGGGGCACCCTCCGAAAATGCGGTTTGTTGTCAACAGCTGGAATTCTCTGGAACTTTACTTTGGGGAGACAGGTGGGGGAGGGCAGCGTGGCAGGAGGGGGGACCCCATTCTTCTCATCGAACCCCCCTTTCATGAAATTTGGGGTTCCCCTCTTGAACCCCCCCCTCTTTCCCCCCCCCTGCATGCGATCAACAGGAGTCTTGGGAGCCTGTAAAAAAAACACCCGTTTATGAAACGGCTGCATCGGCCTCCCTCCCTTTCAATAAAATGTGTTTTAATAAATTGAGGAGGGGGGCGGCCAGAGGAGACCCCTCTCCCCTCCGTCCACAGCCCTCCCCCTCCCCTATCTCTGTTTTCCAGGTGCTTTTTATACGTAGGGAGGGGGGGCTTGCCTTAAAAGACCACCCAGGATCAGCCGCCTCCTGCCTTGGAGCAGATGTGATGGATGGCCTCCATTAGTCCTTCTTTTATTGGGATCTCCTATTTAATTGCTTAATTAATCCCCGCGGGGGCGACGCCTCTGGCCATTAAGAGAGTTGTTTAGCTTGCGTGGCTCAAAACCCCCCGTGGCCTGACTTCACCCCGTTTGGGGGGGTGGGGTGGGGTGCGCCCCACAAAGCGGGCGGGAGGTGAAATTGCACGATTGCATTATGCCCATTTTGCAGAAGGGAAAACCGAGGAGCGAAAGACATTTGAGGCTGCAAAGGCGACGTTGGGAGGGGTTTTTTTGGGGGGTGGGGGTGGGAATCCAAGATGGCATCCTTCTCCAAACTGACCCCTTCTGGCTCCCTTACACACACACACACACACACACACACACACACACACACACCCCTGCAGTGGAATATCTGGATTGTGAAGTTTCTTGCGTGTTTTTTCCTGGTGTTGATTGTGTGTTTGTTGCTGCTGATTGAATTGAATTGAATTTTTGGGGGCGATCAGAAACAGGCATATAACGGGGAGCCTCTGAGCATGTGTAGAATAACAGAGTTGGAAGGGACCTTGCAGGTCATCTAGTCCAACCCCCTCCCCGCCCCTCGGAGAAGACGGCAGTGGCGGTTTTTAAATGAACCGCCTCGCCGCTTGTGCCCTCCCAAATTCGCCGTATCCTGATTCCTTGCTTTGCAGGCGGTCCTCGACGCCATCCTTTCGTTTAGCGGCCGTTCGAAGTCGATGGGGGGGGGGAGGAAGCCAGATTCACTTAACAACCGCACATTTTGCTTAAGAACTGAGCTGATTCTCTCAACCGCCAGAGATAGTAAAACAGGGCACACCACGTGCTTTAAGAACTGTCATACTTGGCAACCGAAAAGTGCTGGGCTTCATTTTGGTCGTAAGTTGAGGACTACCTGTAATGGGGAGGAAATGGAATCGGTACCTGGTGTTCTCGCTTTCTCGCTGTCTGTAAAAATTGGGTTGAGTCACAGAAGGGAAAAATGTATGGGTAACATTACAACAGACGTAATATTGAATCGCTGCGATTCTTAAGTTAGTGAGCCGGTCGTTAAGTGAATCTGGCTTCCCCATTGATTTTGGAATGGGACAATTCACCGCAGGACAATTCAACAAATACAAAAGTTCAATTAATTTCAATGCAACCGTGGCCAGTAATAATAATCTATATAAATAAAAATGTAATGGTAGTTTGTTCAAAATCGCTAATCTCCGAAAGTTCTTCACCGATTGCTTTGAAATTTTGACACACAACGTTGCATTCAAATACGCGAATGTTTTTATATACGTATATTACATAGATGTCACACCTGTGACAGGTAAAAGCATGTTTTTTTGT